AGAGAAAGGAATGAAGAAAGAACTCAGATTTGGGACAGATTAATTGATTTTATCCTAGCCCAATTAAATACCCACCAAAACCCGGCCAGACCCCAACCCAACACCCACGCCATGACCCGGTCCTTTCCCCCCACTAAGCCAAACGACCTCGTTTGGTCATTCTCGATCCGNTCTCTCAGAACACCCCTTAGAACCCTAGAGCCGCCACCATTTCCCACCGCCTTAGGGTGGAGGCGCCTCCTCCGATCCCCACCAGAATTACACCCATGACCCCCTCACTCCCCTTATCTCAAAACCCTCACTCCGTTTGTTTTAAATACCCCTGAATCTCCTCGAATTTAACATTAAAAGGACGAACCCTAAATTCCAAAGTCCAAATCAACGGGCCCGTTTGAAGATTTAAGATCGTAATAGACATTATCCGTGTATTTCTTCATGAAAACACACGGTTAGGGTCTATTCTAGTCAAGAAATCGAAGAATCCGTCAAGGTTTTTTTTCAAGTCTGTCCATGGCCACTTTTAGGTATTTTTCTTCATATTATGTGGTTAGTTTTTATTTCTTATTAATCACTTCTCATCTTCTTCTATCTCTTCTTTTTTTTTCTATTCATCCGTGTCTGCATGACTAGTTTCAGATTAATGTTGACCTTTGTTCCTTCTAGACCCAAATTCCCCGAGTCTCTAAGACCCTGTAAGTTAGCACTTGAGAGTTTTGAACTTTTTATGTCCAGATTGGGTTCTGAAAATCAGAAGGCCCAAGAGGGAATTGGTTTGGGTCTATTCAGACCCATTAATTTGGGTCAATTGGACCCGGTTACTGTCTGGCATGTAGGGGTAAAAAACAGAAGCTAAAAAGGGTAGTTTAGGAAATTGGTTTGGGCAATCTTTAGTATAACAGATTGAGAAGCTTCCAGGAAGTGGGATTGGGGGTTGTTTTGAAATTCTGAAAACTAAATAGGGATACCTAAGCTAAAATGAAATCTCAAAAAGGGTTCAGGTACAAAACTGATTCTTAGGGGGCTGCCCTAATGCCTTGCCTATAAAGGCATCAAGGCTTGCCATTCAAGAGAAAAGGGAGAAAAATTCTGGAAATCAAAACGGCTGAAAAAACTACTGTTCCATTGCTTTTCTTCTACAGTTTTTGAAGATTTTCAATTTCTGAAGAACTCCTCTTTTACCTGGTGAAAAATTACTTAAAGAGTGAAATTGGTTGAATTTTGGAGGCTGTTTGATTGAATCTTACTGCTGATCTTGTTGTTGTACTCACTGATTTGGTTTGGCTTTAGAATCATTCTCAAAGTCCTTTGTTCCTCTTTGCTGTAACAGGTATTTCCCACATCATGAATGACATGTGAGATGCAAATATGTAGTCCATCATGGAAGTCTAATGACAAATATTGCTTGTTGAAATTCAACCTTTTGTTCTTTAAGATCATGTAGCTGCTGTAAATAGTTTATGCTTCCTTTACATGTTTATTTGCTCATTTATATTCCTGATTTGAATCTAACTTGTAAGGTGGATCAGTGTCATAATTTGGCAAGTTTGATTTGTGAATTAGCTGAACCTATGCTTGTTGGACAGGGTAGAATGTTAATCTCTTGTAGCACGGGTCTAAGTTAGTTTGAACTTTCCTCTTTTGATTTAAGTTTAAGTTTAGAGTCAGATTTGGTTCTCAGATTCAAGTTTGGTCACATTATAATTTTGTTGGCTCATTTCCTTCTAAAGTCTATTTGGGCATTTGTTTGTTTTTTATAAAAAAAAAAAAGAAAGTCACTATTTGAGTAATAAGCTGTTGGTTTGGCAAGTGTCGAACACTCTGAATCATGTAGTATTCTGCTTATTGAATAAATCGTTGGTCATTTTAAAGTCATTGTTTAGTCTACAATCAATTGAAAAAATGGTTTGGTATGATGACATTAGGGGTCAAACTAGGTACTGATTTATTTGTAATGTGATTTTAAGCATGATTAGTTTGCGTTACATGTTCAGATTCGTATTTGTTTGCTGGGATGATTTTATTGGGCTTCGTTCGTCTATAATATGCCCTGAACAGAAGGTTTCAAATTGATTTGAAATTCTGGAGTTGTCCATTGAAATTAATTGGAGATTGATTCAAGCGGGATTGGCCAGTGTTTTGTTTGTTGCTGAGAGCCTTGTTGGGTTTGTGCCAACAACCTCGATTTTGTATGTCATTTGCGTGCCTGGGGGTTCGACCTTGAATCCCGCCTGCCTTAGCCTGAATGTTCTCAAATAATTGGGCTATTGTTTGGGCCCCAGGCCATGAGACCATCGGAATTGGAGCTATAGGACCTCATCAGGTCTTGGCTTGCCCCCTTCATTTCATCTAGACGTCGTGGTCAGGCCCAAACTATTTCCTTCAAATAGTCTGCCCCCTTTAATTCGAGGTTTGCTAATTAGTTAGTAGATTTGAGATTTTATTTAAATGAGTAGAAGTTCCTCAATTCTTCGTAGTTAATTAATTGGTTTTCTTTTCAAAATAGACTAGAGGTGTGCCATAATAAACAATTGAATAAAGTATGGCCCTCGTAATTTAATTTAGAAACCTCTTTATTAGAATAAATCGAGATGCGTCGTGCCAAATAAAAATGACAAATGTGTGACCCTCATTTAATTATTTCTTTTAAATCTTTAGAATCCGAGGCGCGCCATTTAGCAAATTTTCCATGGCCCTCGCAAAGTTAAAACGCGTGGTTGCTGTAGGCGCGCTATTTTAATAACATTACCTTCCTAAACTCGGGTGTGCATTTCATGTGACCCAAATCAAAATCTTTAAACGTTGACCAAAAATGTGTTTAGGATTGCGGGTGCATTTCTTGTGGCGCGATCCAAAGGCACGTTTTATTCGACGTTCAATCTTCTTTAAAAATTAATTAAAAATGGTTAGAAGTTTTTTTTTAAAAATGGCATCATAGGTTAAAACGTGTTTCTAAAATCAGATAGTTAAGCCAAATATAACAGTTGAGCGACCGTGCTAGAACCACGGAACTCGGGAATGTCTAACACCTTCTCCCGGGTTAACAGAATTCTTACTCGGATTTTTGGTTTGTGGACTGTTAAACAGAGCCAGACTTTTCCTTGATTCGGGATTCAACTGGTGACTTGGGACACCATAAATCTCCCAAGTGGCGACTCTGAATCTTTTAACAATAAATCCTGTTTCGATTGTCCTTTAATTGGAAAAACTCCTAATATACACCCTTCCGGGGGTGTAGGTAAAAAGGAGGTGTGACACCATTGTGTCAATTTGGTGTAGTAAAAAGACAATGGAAAGTAAGGATGAAAGTTTTCAGTTAACTGGGGGTGAGTGAAAATTTGGAGTATAAGGAAGAAAGTATATTCGCAAAATTCTTTCAAGCAATGGGCAAGGAAGTGTGTCAATCGAATGATGTGTTCCTTCTATTTATAAGAGACATAAATCCCCCAAGTACGAAACCCAAGAGTCGCCAATCGAATTTGATAGGGCACAAAACATTTTGATTCCCTAGGAACGTGTGTCATAATGGCGGCAACCACGAAACAACGTTTCAATCCCAATGACATTTCAGTTCCGAAATAGCCGCAACGGTCCAAGGATATCGAAAGAGCGCCATCATCTCACTTAAAACCTAAGGAGCATAACCAAGGGATAAGTTGTTAGATTTCTCTCGAATTTGTAGTAATCATGATCCGTCTGCCCGGCCCGACAGGGGACGACCCCGACAGACGGAGGGACTAACTGTATTGGTCGAAATCTGACCGTTGTTGCGGTCAAGCTGACCAACATCCCGTCCAAGCGGCAAGGCAGCGAAAGACGACATAGTCTATTCCATATCCCGCACTCACGATACCCGTCGAGTCAGAAGAAACAACGTTCAGGGGACGACCAAGGCAGACATAGTGTGAAAGAGCGTCAGACCAAATACATAGCAAAGGTCCCATGACTATATATAGTGGGGGGAAACCTTCGGTAAGGGGTGCGGTTTTTCACTTCTCTCTCTCTCTAGTTCTCTCTTCTGTAATCTTCATAATGAAAAGAAGAGCGAAGCGTTCTCCAAGAAAATATGTAAAATGGTCTCCTCCATTGATTAATGGGAGCCACACCGGAAAGTTCAATAAGATTGGTTACCTCTATCTCATCTTATGTATTATTTTTCCAATTAGTTTATTGATTTGGAGTTTATTATGGTTGACTAAGATTTACTCATTCATTTTCCTTAATTAATTTATTCAAAAAGGTTCAAATATCTTTTGAGTCAAACAACTATTTTCTTATTTCACATTTCATTCTGCATTAAAATAATTCATGCACTAATACCCGTTTTTTAATACTACAATTTTTGGAGGTATTATTTTATGTGAAAAACAAAAGAAGCAACCAAGTAATGTTTAAACTCTTCTTTTGCCACAGAAACGGGCTCGAAGTTTATCATACTGGGGTTGCTAAGTACTGAAAAAATGGTACTGTATGAATTAACCCAAATAGTAGCACATAAACGAAATTAAACATTTGAAAGTTGTGTTTAAATTAAAACAAACTTGAAGTTTTAAGTGAAGCTCTAAACAAGAGTAGCTTTATGCGGAATAAGCTAGTAATTTGTCACATCACAAATTTCCAAGTAATTAATCTTGGTTAAATCAAAGATGTAGATTATCTTTAGTTTCCAGTAATTGTATGTAACGTGTCGGCAAAATTGGCGTTAATGTGTCCCCATATCTGAGACATAATTAAGCAGCTCTTGGAATTGATCACCAACATTCTCTCAAGAATCGTACTTGATTAGATTTTGTGTTTCAAATTAATTACTATCACTCAATAATAATCTCATCATTGTCGTCATAAATCATAATATCTGTAGCACCTATCTACAATTATGCATGATAGAATCTAAATGAAGTCTGATTAGTTTACCAAAAACCAAGACTTAGTGCGAGCATGATGGACTGACGTTGTCTAAGTGCAAAAACTGGATGTAGTTTCCATACCATGACGGTTCCTTAACATTACCTAGACATTTTTATTAATGCGTCACAAACTACAGTCACATCTTTCTATAACAGTATCCCTATATAACAATACTTTACTATAAAAGCTAAGTTTTTCCGTAACCCATTTTCATGTTATGTTATAATATATGTTCTCTATAACAGCACTTCGTTATAACATCCAAAAATATTCGGAACAAACGAGGCGGTTATAAAAAGGTTTGACTGCATGACTCTTTTTTTCTATAATCTCTCTTCTTGAAAAGCCTGTCTCAGTTCATCTTCAACACCCTCAGCACCTTGCACTTGATCACACACATCACTTTGCACTTGCACAGTTGAAGAACTATAATTGTGACAAAAAAAACTGTTAAAGTCGACTCATAAACAGATGGGTTGAGTTTTAAAATTGTTCAGGATTTAAATTAATGTTTAATGATATTTTCTTAAAATTAATTTTTGCCATGTCACTAAATTAAATCGGAAAGTACAAAAATCCAGAAATAAATGTTGAGTAATTTTTAAAAGACAAAAGAAAAATTATATGACTTTGATGATCAATTACTCAAAGTTGAGCGATCATGTGAGTCATTAACTCGAAAAAATCCAGACGTTAGCTTCTCACTCTTATATCTTCTTTTCTTTTCTTAGGGTGATGTGCTTCATATTCTGATAGTAAGATCTTTGTCAAAGTGTTTGATTTTTTTATCTCATTAAGGTATGGAAGACCAAGCTAACATGATTAAATAGAATTAATGATATTTGATTGTAGAACACCAATAAAAATAGTCATTTAATTTGCTCATTTATAAAATAGGTGAAGGGGATAGAACTTTTAGGTAATTTTCCTACGTTAAGTCTGCAAACGAATTAAGAAATACACAAAGTAAAGTCAGAATACATAGTTTATCTTCTAACCTTGAGACCAAATCCATGTGACACATCTTTCCTCCACGGACAACCCTTTGCACATAACATTTCTAGAGTGTGTCTAACACACACCTTTCGACATTTGACCTTCAAAAGAGTACAACACACGTGCCAATCAGTACGTGACATGTGTCATAAATCAAGAAAAAAAAAAATTATTTAACTACACCCAAATTAACAGTTTCTTTTCAACTTTTCATCTTCATTTCCTCCCCCATGGCTGCACCCCAACACCACCTCCATGGTTGCTGAAATAGTCATAACAAACGGAAAAAAAAAGGCCAAAAAACCACTTTCAATCCATCAACGAAATTATCCATCGCAAGAAAACAGTCTCGTCCGCAGAAAAACAAAGGATAGTAATGACCCCTTGACAAAAACTTTTATTCTTACCCCTCCTAATACCCGAGATTTGAGATTATTTCCTTTGAAAATAGAATAGATTAACATCACTGGTATAGCGGTACTTCGAATACAGTGAACTCGAAATGACAAGTTGAATTAAAACGAAGAATCGCAACTATTAATAAAAATCTATATTAACAAAATAAAGTTACATTTGTTGGTCCAAGAAAATCAATCAAACAGATCATTTGACATTCGAAGCCGAAGCCAAACAAAGCGACGACGGCGTGAGCCTTACCTTCTTCTCAACTCTTTACGAGTTAGAGGAAGTGCCTTTATATTTAAACCCAACAAATAAATATATTAATAAAAATACCTTGAGATTCAAGTCAAATCAATAACTCCGTAGCGATCCAAAACGTTACACAGGAAAGAACACCATATTTTGTGTACAAAGAAGTCATGACATACCATGAGATACAAATCAAAATCATATTAATACAAGCATTAAAATGAAATAGAAACCATCAATTTGAGAAAATCCATAAGACTACATAATGCCAACAGGGGATAGATGTTCAAACGGAGTACAAAACAGTACAACAAAGCAGAAATGCTACAACACCAATCATCGGTCCAACGACCAATAGCAGGAACTGGCACCTCACAACAATCCAATATTTGCTGCAGCAGCACCAAATATTTATTTAACCAACAGATAAAGTCATTCAAAAAAAATATATAAAAAGATAATGTCTATCGAAATCGATCAATATCAAAAGAGATCATCCTTATTGCCATCATCAGCAATAATTTATTGCTTCAAGATGCTAAATCAATTCATTTCTGGGGCACACTTCGGACCATTAAGACAAACATTTTACTAAATATATAAAGAAATTTTACTTCAAAAATTTTCAAAGACAGACAACTAAGGTACTAAGCTAAATTATATTTGAGCTAGTGAACCAACGGAAGTTATATCATGGGTGAAAAAAATAGCATCATTAGCTTAAGATTGTACCTGTGAGTCGGACTGGAAACGAATCGAAGGTTGCAAGCTTGCAGACACATTCATTATTCTATTGCTGGATACAACAACAACAACAACAAAAAACCCAGTGTAATCCCATAAGTGGGGTCCGGGGAGGGTAGTGTGTTGTATAAGTCTTCATCCAGTCTACTGCTGGATAAAAACTTTGAAACCACATCTCTGCAACATTTCAACTTGTGTTTCTCTGATTTCCATGGCTGAGTCGACAGCAGATTGGTTGCATGACTTTACCTCAATGTGTTGTAAATAATCCATGTCGCCAAATCGAGAAGGGATTTCGCGAAGATATGAACATCTATGCAAAACCAACCGCTCCAGGCGAGAAAAGGCTTCATCAGATGCTCTCCATTTCGAGAGATTGAGATTTTCAAGTTTCAAGAATTTGAGCTGAGGGAACTCATCATCTCTCACTTCCCATTCATTCCTTTCAAAATCAACTTGTTGCAGTTTAAGTACATAAAGGGTGGGAAGTTGTGCAATGGTCAAAATTCCAGCAAGTTCCAGAGGAAAATTGCACAATGACAACTTCTTAAGACTCAATGGGAAGTTTAATCCACTCGGAATCATTTTCGGAATACTGAAGAAGAGCACCTTTAGTGTTTCAAGTTGTGTTAAAGAGTCTAAGACTGGGAATCGACTTCCGTTCTTTCCGCGACCCCATGATTTGTCAAATATACATCTTAACTTTTGAAGATTGGGTGTTTTGCTCACTATCCTCTCCATATCTTCTGCACTTGAAAAATATGGCGAGGAAAGTGTTGCCAAATTTTCCAATTTTGAGGGGCCCTTGTCAAGGAATTTCATTGCATTTTCAAACATAGCTATATCAATGTGTACATGTCTCAACTGATCCAACTTCCAGAAAGTTTCTGGCAGTGACACCTGCTTCCTTCATTCCTTTGACTTGAAATGTTTCTAGATTCCGAAGATTGTTTATAGATGATGGGATAGAATTCTTAGCAGTTCGAACAGCAAAGTACCTTAGATTTCTAAGTTCTGTAGGGAAAGAATGCACAATAACAAACTCCAAATCCAATACCCTAAGAAACTTGAAGCTACCAAATACGTCTGATGCATTTTTCATGACAGAAAATCTATTCTCACCGACCTCCCTGAATAAAATCGACCGAGCATAAGAGCATGATGCGCTCCACCTAGCTATCCTATCCCGATCAGAGTTAGATGATAAGCCTTGTTGCTTAGCCTTTTTAGAGTAAAAGCGTGGAGGATCATCATCATAATCTCTGAAAATTGGAAAATTAAGTAGGATAAGAAGCAAGTGCAAAAGTCTGCATTTAACCAAATAATTAGAGAACAATAGAGAGTTAAATACCTTTTTAGCCACAAAAGGAAGTTTTCTTCCACAGCCTTCTCCTTACAGAAGTCGAGCACTAGGTCATGTACACGACATGCCTTGATCTTTCCAATGGATCTCTTCTTAGTAACAATGACCAAGTTTCTTCTGATAAGATCCTCGAAGTAATCTTCTGCAATGTCCTCCAAATCCTTGTCGTCATCATCTTCAATGAAATCCTCGGCAATCCATAACCTTGTTAGTTTTGAGACTAAAATTTCGCTATCCTCTAAAAATACTCTGAAATATAAAAGGCATGATTTCAGTTTATAAGGTAAATTGTAGTAACTTAGTTGTACTAAATCCTTTGTGCCACCCTGGATTTGTGCACCTAAACTTACTTCCAATTGCTTCCAACATTTTTCTTCCTTATCCATCCTTGAGAGGAGACCAGCCACTAAAACAACCGAAAGAGGTAGCCCTTTACACTTTTTTGCTATTTCTTGCCCAACTTGCTTTAGCTCTTCAGGGCACTTTTCTTCCCCAAACACCTTTCTTTGTAATAAGGACCAACTTTCGTCATTATTAAACAAACGTAGATCATGGGGATCAGTGGAACGTTTGGCGTAAAGAGCAACTTCCCACAGTCTGGTGGTCAGAATGATTCTACTGCCGTTATCATCATCAGGAAAGCATAATCTTAGATCATCCCATGCATCTTTCTCCCACACATTGTCAATAATAAGAAGATATCTTCTTCTCATTAATGTTTGTTTTAGTCTAGCAGCTAATTCACTTTCACCTTCTTTACTTAGATCAATAGGCTCATGAGTAGCATCACTCAAGATGGAAAGTAGCAAGTCTTTACGCGTGTATACCTGAGAAACACGACACTCACCTTGGAAATTGAAATGGGAGACAATTGACTGATCATTCATAAAACTTCTGGCCAAGGTCGTTTTTCCTAATTCAGGCATACCAACTATGGAGATAACTTCTAGCTGGTGTGGTCCTCCAACTAGTTGGCCTCTTATGGTTTCCTTCACATCCAAGAAGCCCACAGGTTCTTCGTCATTGGTAGCAGGGGAAACAATTGTTATTTCCTTCTTCTCGGACTTAGGCAACTCTGTCTTAACAATCTTAATCTCTTCTGTCATCACCGAGAGCCATATTTTAAAATACGAAAGAGGAATATCTCTAACTTTCAAAGAATCTATTGTATCCTCTAACTCATGTGCATTATCAATGACTCTTGCAGCTATATCTTGAATTTCATCATACTTATTATTGCTTGGTTCTGCTGCACCCTTGAGTAAAGGTTGGAGAAATTCAAGCTCCTCATGGACCAGTTCGAGTTGGTTCTTCACCGAAGTAAGTGAATCAGCAGGGCAACAAATGAGTCCCTTTAAGCTCTCCATAAGGAAATTGATAGAGCCTAATGAATCATTTTTAGGCAAATGGGATTGTACCCACTCCCGGATATCACGGTTAACTTGTGTCTTGACAAGCTGAACTGTATCAGCTAAAACAATCAGTTCTTGCTTCTGATGTTCCTTGTCTTTGCTGCTGTCATACAATGAATAAATGACAAGTCCAGCATCAACAGCCACATTCTCAAGCCGTGTGAAGAAACGGTTCCTCATCTCATCCTGAATGCTGTTAATCAATGACAACTCATTGAGAATAATTCTCGATGACTTAAGCTGATCCGGAAGGGTTTCAGTTTGGTCCTTATCCAAAGTTAAAAGTGTTGTAGAGGACATGGGAGGACTGCCTGATAATCTTGACATCAGCGTAGATGTTGCGAATCTGTGGCTCAATAGGCTCAATCCTTTTCTGCAGCAATCAATAAGCGAATTAGCAATTCTAAGAGCCACAGATTTGTCCTCGTCGGAATCAGGCAAATAGAAGAAGCAAACAGTTGCAGCATTGGTTGCCACAACTTCAGCATGAGAGAGGAAAGCTTTCCAGCAGCTTTCGAGTTCTGGGCTATATATTGTTCCCAGAAAACAAACAAACTTCTTGAGTACTGTCAACTCCTTTACTAACACTTTCATTTGATCCTTGACTTGAAAATATATGTTATCTGAATCATCAGGCATAGCAAGCAGCTCCCCAAGTCGAGCAATCAGCAGATCCCTAAGATTCCGTACAACATTGTTTATGAATTCCACTACAAGTTCGTGGGTCAGAGAACTAGCACCTGGAATTTCTGGATAAGAATAATAAACTCTAATATCTGGCTTGGAAAGCCGAATCTTTTTTAGCACATCAGTGGTGATGGTGTCAAGTTGATCAGGCTCGTCTTTTCTACACCATATGCTCTTAAAGAGGTCACGCAGATCATCTCCAACACTTTTCATCAATGGTTTGACATGTTTTTGCAGGGCCATAAGCTTCTTCCGATTCTGCTTTCCCTTCCAGTCAAGAAATGTTTTCAGAAACCATAGTTCTGTTTTAATGGCCTTTATCCGATCCTTTTGGGAAGCTATCAAGTCATGCTCATTTTCAATCCCTTGGAGAGCAAGTACAGAATCACGAATATCAGTAGGAACAGATGACATATTCTTTCTGCAATTTCTTTTGTTTTCAAGATTGATTCTCAACTGGAAATCCAAAGGAAAGAAGGAGAGTTAGCTTCAGAAGTTGAGTAATCCATTACCCAAAAAGTCTACCAACTTGCAAAGATGTGGGTGGGGATGTGGTGTGTCTTTGTCTGAATACTTCGCAAGAAATCAAATTATCAATTGAAATTTATTCTGCAGAAAATACGATAAAATATTTGGATTTCTAAATCAATCTATTCAATCGCAACGGAAAGTTAGCATGTTGAATCAAGGCTGCATCACCAATTTGTTAATGAAATAGTAAAAGATATAAAATTGGTTGACACAAAATACAATGGGCTGCCCATTTATGCAGTCTGTGGATAGAGAAGTTGGAATATCATCAATAATGATATCCACAATGTAGTCTTTCAAAAAGTTCTGTTTAGGGGAGAATTTATTTTCTCATTAGTTTTTTTCTATTAATATTAGTGAATTATGTAGGTCACTCGACCAAATCATTTAATATAGCATGCTTTTTTCATATATATTTTTTTGTCTAATTCATCGTCCATTAAGCTTTGTATTGTTAGATTCCGCACGCATCATGTTATTTCGATCCCAACACTAGCAGCCACCTCGACCACCGACAGTACCACTAAATACAACCACCAACTATCTCCACCATCAGCTTCCACACACCAGCATACCGACCAGTTTTACCACTTGTCACCACAACAAAATCGTCTCTACCACCAACCTCCAATGCATAACCACCACACTGCTTCATCTTCACCACTAATCAACACCATTCTAAGTTGCTCTGACACGACAGTTTAGGTGCTGCACCCGTGTCTACACAACAATAATGTGGGTGTGGGTATGAGATCCATACCAGATCTGGTCAAACGATTTTGGGTGCTTTGACCACGACAGATAGAAAAATTCGAGACGGGATACAATTTGATTCCCGAAATCAGAACCAAAACTAAGGTAAATTGGAAGAAAATGGCATATTCTTATCTAGGAAATCAATCATTTACTTTCTGCTTCCTATCTTGATCGAGCAGAAAGAGCAACAGATAGCGTCAATTGAGAATAAGGAAGACGGAGCGTTCGACAATTTGGGAAAATGCAGGACCTTTGGCTTTATTTAGATATTATTATATTTAATAATATTGTACATTTTGTAATGAAAGCTTAAGACACACTAAGTCTGATTTTTATAATAATAATTGGAGATCTAATCTAAATTATAAAAATAAAATTTAATTATAAATGAAAGATAACTATAAAAAAGTTAACTTGTAGGAGAATTCGAGAATGGAAGAAAATCAAGAAATCATGCCTACAACTTGAGAATAAAAAGAAATCCACACTTCACAAGTTATAGGTAAGTATTCCACAAAATTTCATAATTTAGAGATATTTTTATATTTTTATTTTTCAAATTATTTTTAGCCGGATCTCTACACCTGTATCCGTACTAGGATCTGGTATCCTTGAATCTTAGAATTTACATCTCGGAGGATTCATCCTCTAGACTCGCGTCCGTGTCAGTCACCTGCACCCCGTGTTCGAGCAACTTAGCCCCAATTGACTGCCGCTACCACTAGCTTCTGCCACACCACATCCATCATTACCAACCACTTCCATCACCAGCGACCACATCCATCACGTATGGACTACTATCACAGAACCACCACTGGCTACCACTACACAACTACCAGCGCCAACCTACTCCATACAACCACCACCACGACTGGTCACCACCCATATCTATCATGTTTGGCCTACCATCACATAACCACCATTGGCTAGCACCACAGAACTACTATCAACCTACTCCATACAAACATTGTTAACCACCAGCAACCAGCCAACTATTATCACTGACCACCACCGCTAGCTTTTAAGAGTGTGGCCCATCAAAGAAATAATTTAGACAACATTATGCAAGTTAGTGTTTTCTCTATTATTTTGTGGATATAATATTTGTGAGTAATTTTTTTGAATTCTATACTTATTACTCCAGTATAAATTTACGTGTCATACTTTCCTTTTAGGTTTGTCCAAGAATGTATACTTTTTATTTAAAAATAATTTAATTTTAAACTTTCCATTTATTTTAATGAAATGATTTATAGCTATACAAACTTCTATAGATTGTTTAGTACCACAAATTTCAAAAGTCTTCCTTCTTTATAAATTTCGTGCTTAACCAAACACCACCACATAAATTGGAAAAGAGAAAGTAGTTTTTAAATAAATATAATGTTCAGATCTAGATGCAATATCTTAATATTTAAATGTACTAATCAGATTAAACTTTTTAATCTTAATAAAATGGGGCTAAAATGGCATATCCCATGTCAAGATTCCAATATTTTCACAGTAAAAGAACGTTTGAGGAAGGTAAAAAAATGGGTTTGAATCTGGAGGAAGGAGGATGAAAAGAATGAATTTGAGAAGAGTTTGAATCTAGATGGTCAAAGAAGGCTGTTTGAATCTGGAATAAGAAGAAGAAGCTTATCGGAAATGGTGATTATTTAAACAAAAAAAGGAAAGAAACAGCAAGAAAATCATTTTTCCAAACGTTCATATTTTCCGATAAACACTTAATTTGTGAGGGATACATGTTGTTTCCTGTCAACACCTCTGTGACACATCTTGAACAGAGATTGAGGGCCCAATAGTAGTTCAGACGCGCGAAGCCACAATTTAAATTTTAGGATAGTACTCCATATAGGATATTAGTAAATGGGATTTGAATTTAATATTTATATACATTTAATTTAATGAATTTCTCAATATTTACCAATTGAGTTTGACCAAACTCGTAGCTTTCCTTCTAACTCCGTACCAGATTATCAATCCGTCGAACCCTAAACATCAAACAGTTGTGGAAGATAGGGATATAGCAATTACTATTGAAAAGAGAAAAAAAATTCCACGTATTATACATACAGTAAAAGAAGGGCTTCATAAGTTGATTTTCAAAAGAAAATTGGAATAAAAAGGAATATGAATTTCATTGATAAGAGAATTCTCACCTTAGTTATTAGGCCTTCTTAGACAAAAAGGTTGAAGATTGAATTACTTTGGGGAGCGAGAGAGGCAAATAAGGCATTGACTAACTAAAGGAACTGAGAAATGAGAAAAAAGAAGGCACAGAGACTAGTATAGCCATGATTTATAGGAATCATTGATTAGACATCTCCAACCCCATCTCCCAATGGGGGAAATATTTAGGGCAATTTAACTCCATCCTCCCCCATTTGTCCCAAAATGGGGATAAATAATTTTCCCTCAAATATGGGATACACTATTAATCTCCTTCATTACTATTTATTATTATTTTATTATTTATTCTTTTAATTTATCTCTTTATATATACCTAATTATATTTATGTAATGTCTTTATAATATTAATATTATATCTTAACTTTGGTGTATAATTTTGATAAATTAATTTTCGTGCATTTATTATTTTTATGTAGAAATGGCAGTAGATGAAAATCAACGATTTCAAGAATTTTTATTTCGACATAGAAGAATTAAGGACAAAGATGCTCATTTTGCACTTCGTAATGCATTAATAGATCATTTATGAGAGAATACTAGAGGTTGAAGTTGAATATTTATCTAGTATTTCGAATGAATTTTATCGTTATGTAATATGTATTTAATTAATCTTGTATCGCAATGATTTCACTTTTATTTGAATTATTAGTTAATCTATAATAATTGCTTACAAATTATATTATTTAAAATTTTATGGAATTGTTTTAATTTTGGAAATTACAAATTAATAAAAATAAAAGATGGAATTTGTTTACTGGAAATTAAAAAATGAAATTGAAATGAAAGATAATAATATAATATAGAAGAGAGAGAAGAATATAAAAAAGTTTGGGAAAAAAATGAGGGAATGGTTGGAGTAAGTTGTCCTCGAAATGGAAAAATCTCTATTTTGGGTACCAAAAATAGGGTATAAGGTCTTTTTCTATATTTAGCCTTTTAAATTTATTTGTTTCGCGTTGGAACGGAGGTTGGAGCAGAGGCAAATTTTACAGGACTAGAAGTTATTACGTACTATATTGTCACTAGAAGTTAAAAGTTTTAGTGATACATACGGGTGGCAAAATAGTTCAAAGAAAACAGTTAACCACTCATATTATCCACTAAAAACGGGTTGAATAATGAACTTTTTAAAAATGAGTTAAATATTGATAAAAATCATATTATCCATTTAGAAAATAGATAACCAATGGATAACCAATTGGTCTAACGTTTACATTTGCAAAGCCTCAAATTGGGATTCCTCAAGTTAGGGAAACTAAGAATTCCCCCAAAAGTGATTATATACAAGAAGCCATGGATAATATGGGTAACCCATATTATCCGCCGGTTAATCCATTTTTTATTCGTATTAAATATGAGTCGGGTCGGATAATTGATCTATTTTTTCATTACCCGTTTTTTATCCGAACCATATCCGACCCGACCCGACCCGCCCGTTTGCCACTTCTAGTGACACATGGTAATATCCTACAGTACCATTGAGAAATACTGGAGGAAAAATTACTGGAGAAATCCCATCCCTCAAAAGGTATAGTATCAATTATTACTTAGGCCAAATACATATATAACTCATCCAACTTGGCACCATTTTTTATTTTGGCACTCTTGTTAACAATAAATTTGCGTCAAGGAAATAAAATCAAGACCGAAAATATCGCAACAATCGTAGTATTTTATTTTGAATATTTGAGTGTTACAATCTCTATGAATCCTCTGATTCTTCTTTTCAGTAGTAAATAAATTCAAAGGCCTTTGAGCTTGATCTTGAATCAATGTTAGTTGCCACAAATGATGATCTTGTTCTTGAGCTTGAGCTTGAGCTTGAGCTTAAGGTTGATTGCTTGAACTTGACTTTAATTTGTTCTTCGTTCTTGAGCTTGAACTTGATTTGCTCTTCGTTCTTGAGCTTGAATTTGATTGCTTGAAGCTTGAAACTTGTAGAGAATTTTGCAGTGTTTGATCCACGAGCTCTCTCTTGCTCCTTGTTATAACTTCTGGTCTCTTTTTTGAGTTATGAAGACCTCTATTTATAGTTGTGGAAAGGAAGAGTTATGATAAGAACAAACTTTTTCCGACCAATCAAATTGAAGTGTGACATGGCCGCATTTGATTGGCCAGAATATGTCACTTGCACATGTGGCACGATTTCATTGGCCTTTTAGTGTGACTTGGCATGCTTTGTCATTTTGATTCGTGGCATGATCATATTGGCTCTTCCGTTTGACTTGGCGCGCCACATCATTTCACGCGTGGCACCAAACTGGGCCTCTAGGAAGATGTCATCTCGGGCTTAATGAAGTGGGCCCATTACTTTAGCCCAATTAAATGGGCTAGCCCAATGGATTAATACTTATTTATTTAATCCATATATATTGGACTTATAGAATTAATTCATTTATATATTAGCTCATAATATTTATTTGGACCAATATATTTTGAATTTAAAATATAGTCTAAATTATTTTACGGATTTAATTTCAATAAAATTTATATGCCTATAAATGCCCCTACTTCAAGACTTGGCGAGTTATTAAATTATTGCGACTAGGCTTGAAGTATACAAACAAATTTACGTACCCCTGAAAAACGATCCATGCAACTTCAAGTACGTCCATTTTTCACGTGCACCAAAGCATTCATAGGTTATAATTATTCAAAATAATATATGTACCAAGAAAGCTTTATATCTTATTTTGACTAACTTTGATGGATTGGACCAGAAGCCTTCCATTTTGAGGACGTGCTTCACTGAACATCAATATTTAGGACTGTTGACACCTAATTTTTGACCATATTTGAATTTATTCCCACTTTTCCCACTTATCTCGTCAATACCTCACTTTCACTTTCCCTCGCCCCCACACCGGTCCCTCGTCCCACTATTCCCATATTCCCATCCCACCTTCTTTTGTCCCCCATTTTTCCTTGTCCCATCTCACTTTATCCCTTTCCAACTCACCCATGTTACACTCCAACAACAAGACAACTTTTACCTC